AGCAGGATCAATTTTTGACAAAATTTCCGCCTCATTAATTGCGGGCAAGGCACTTGGAATACTTACTGCAACTGAAAATTTATTTTATAAAAACCAACATTCCACTCACGTGAAACGGTGAACGTCCCACTCCGGTGAAAAAGCGGGCACTTTTCGCCTTGTATTAGGACGTGCAAATGCCCATGACATTAATATTGTAACAAATTCATCAGGAAGTACAGATACTATGCTTGATTCAATAAGTTGACTCTCATAGCCTTGAATACAAATTTTATTGCTTGAGAAAAAAGCGAGAAAATCGATTTACACGCTTTAAATCAAAAAATACACTTCATGTGTTCACTCTCAAATGTTTCTATTTAATAATAAATATAAATAATAATTCGATTTCTGGGATCTTTGAAGTTGTACCCACGTGTGGTCGTTTACGTTGTGGCATTGTCAATAATTTTTCATTAATTTGTATTGGCTGTCCTATACATACACATACTTATGCTATGCACGTGCTATGCATCAATCATTCAAATATTCTCATTTGCTGCTTACACTTACCGGGAGGCATAAGCCCTGGAGGCATTCCCCATGGAGTGGCTCCTGGGGGCATCCAGCTTGGTGGACCTTGGCCCGGGGGTGGTAAGCCAAACGGAGGCATTCCAAATGGAGGAAACCCTCCTGGAGGTGGGCCATAAGGCATTCCTCCATGACCCATCATCGACGGAGGTGGTCCCATATTAACTTGGTTGTTAAGTTCTTTTTTCTGCTCTTCGCTCTCTGAATAAAAACAATGCTTATAGCACACAACCTACAAGGCCTAATTCAATTGTAATCACCTTTGCTTTCAGGTTTATTAGTTATGCTGGCTTGTGCAAGAGCTGCCTGTGCAGCAGTTGACGTATTTTGAGGTTGCGTATTAGTGCTAGCTGCTTGCGCCATTGCCTCAACTTGATCCTATTAAGATTAAAATTACAATACATTTAACGCCACGAATCTTCCCAATATTTTTAAATTTTAAATAAATTATAAAAATGATTTACCTGGGTAATGACTTTAATATTGGGACCTTCGGGTTTGGTCCAAGTCGTTTCCCTCGATCTGGCATTATAATAATAAGATTTCCCTTCGCCAGTTTTAGTTTCTACCCAAATTTCATTTGTTGCATCCAAAGATGGACTCTGCAATAGTTAAATAAAATAAAATATATGCTAATTAAAGAACACATCAGTACGGAATTTGTAAGTTTGATGTTAAGGGTGTCCAAAATAAAATAAGTTGCGTTGATAAATATTAGTTTTTTTCAACTTACCTGTTCGTTTGATCTGGAAGAGCCATCGGGGTATCCTGCAGCACCAGGAACTCCCGGTAATCCACTCATCATTGGAGGTGCCCCAAAAGGAGGCGGTCCACCCATAAGATTTGGGGGTGGGCCCCGGTTCATGCCGGGTGGACCCCAATTGGGACCGTTGTCGCCAAAATTTGGAGGCGGACCATTAAATCCTA